CTCTCTCTGTCTGGAAGTAAGCTGAACCTTCCTTAAATACTCCTTCTAACTGCATAAACTTGCATAAAACGCGATACTAAAAACTCATTCTGGTAGGGAATAGTATATGGGAAACGAGGATAGACAGTAAAGCATGTTTAAACTTAAAATAACCTTTAAAAACTTAAAGTAATCTTGTAGAGACATTAAGTATTTTTGGAACCCTGTAGAGACATTAGGTACAAACCTGTAGAGTTATTAGGTATTTTTTGGAAGCAGACAAGATGAAAAATATGCAACGCCTTCGCCAGGAATCGAACCCAGGAGATCTGGAATACGAGCCCAGCGTGCAGACCACCACACCACGAAGGTATGCCAAGAAGGAGGGAGAAATACATTATAACCTTACGTTAAAACTGACCGTTAACTGACAGTTTTAGACGAAAATACACAGAATTTGTTTTTATAGAAATCTAAAAAGTGTCAGCTGCCAAATCTCAATAGAATAAAATTATAAAATTAACAGAATAATAACAGAAAGAATATAACCTTATCTATTTGTGCAAACCGAAATTACTTTTTTTCCAACCCAATATTTACCATTTTTCTATTTCAATCGCCCTTTTTCTCTATGATAATTAAATACATAACTGTACTGAAAATTTTTATTCTGGATTTATGTGACATAAAAGATCACGATAATAAGTTCATTAGGTACTTGGATTTTAAAACCTTTATATTGACATATATATAAAAACTTTAACTGTAATCTGTAACAGCCCCTTAAATTTCCTCTCTGATTTGATAACCGCCCCCTTTTTTTTCTTTCCCCCAAGAAAGTACTTTTACTAAATGGTTCTGAAGTTCGTTATTCTGAAACTAATGCTTGATGCCTTCCATTCCGTTCCGTTTGTCGTTGCCGCCGCCTCTAGCTTGCAGCAAGCTGTATATCAGCTATTTTTTTTTTTTTATGATTTTAAGTGTAATGTAATATTGAAGGGAAGAAACGTTACAATAGGGGACCGGAAAGTAATGTCGTTTCTGCGCATGTCGACAAAAACATGCTAAGGGCAGAAGTGGAAGCAGATCTATGTCAAACACTCTTAATCAACCTTGGTCGACCGTCCAAGAACATTTAAAGTAGAATGGAAAAAGCAAAGCAGGTGTTTGAGTCCCCCATAATCTGTCCGAAAAGAACAAAGCCAACCTATCCATCACATGCAACGTATTGCTTCAACGGCACCATACAGAACCGTTTTTTTGATCGTTTGATTAGCGGAGACAAAATAAATAAGTCCTATATGATAATCCAAAACTCAAAAGGCAGTTTTAATAGGGTTTACATCCCGAAAAAGCGCTTCTCGGTGTTCGATGGAGTATTCGTGGAATTGTTCATTTTGAATTGCTGAAACCTGGACAAACTGCTAATTCAGACCTTTGTGAACAATTGCATGGCGTGAACCGATCTTTAATCGAAAAATATCAATCGTCAACAGAAAATGCGTCCTTCTGCAACACGACAATGCAATGCACTGTGCAAGACGACCACTGGAAAAAATTAATGAATTGGGGTGGGAGGTACCACCATACTTGGCCCATATCGCAGCATTGGATTTCCATTTATTCGGATCCCTACAACATTTTCTTAGAGGCAAAAAATTTGAAAATTTGGATGATGTCCAAAATATAATCTCGAGATATTTTACTCAAAAACCAATTGATTTTTATCGGTCCGAGATTGAAAATCTGCACATTAGATGGCAAAAGGTTGTTGATAACGAAGGTGATTATATTACTGATTAAAAATAAAAATTTGTTAAAAATGTATTCGTTTCAATTTAATGTAAGAAAGCGACATTACTTTCCGGTCCCAATATTAGTTACGGTGAATTGTGAACCTTTTTGACGTAAAAATTATAGGCACTTACGTATTTTACCGTCGACCGGCCAAGTAATGCAATTTAGCGCCAATCATGAATAATATATCCTTTAGAATTCCACAATAATGACCGGCGACCGTTGACTCAATTTCCGCCAACAGTCGACGAGATATTACGTAAGTACCGAATGATAATCCGAATCGTTAAAAGTTGGTATTTTCTGATTATCTGCATTTTCCCCGAAAAACCACAAAAAGTATTGATGAGGCAATGCACCATGTCCCCAGAAAGCATTTATGCAAAAACTACTCATGTGGCAACCCAGTTGTGCGCGTCTACGCGTAGCGCATCTGTCTTGTGAATCTGTCGTCTGAATATTATGTGAATCTGCATTTTAAAAATTAAACAATCACTTTTCTTATGAGTATTTTTTTTAGTGAGTACGTTTCATTCTGATGTAATGAATTGTAACGGAGCTGTGAAGTTTGCCTCCTTTTGTTTCTAATATGTTGGAGCGTTTTGTAGCAGCATACGCGAAAGTTTCAACTGTAATAGGGCGACCGTTATCACGGCCGGTTCACGATGTCAAAGTTGTGCGCGATGCCGAGGTTTTACAATTCTCTGATTTTATTTAGCAAAAACAGATCGCTCTGTACATGAAGTAAACAATTACTTAAAAGATACCAAAAAGATTCCCGCAATTAAAAATAAAGATCAAAAATAGTTGGAACTGGATGCATTGTTGAAATACAGTAAATGAACCCAAAAAAACGTTTCTGTGCAAAGTTACCAAAGCGTTCGTGACATTTGTGTGTGGGGGGGGGGCGGATAATCCGAAGGTATCAAAAGGTTTTTATACGTCTATAGAATAGGTATAAAATAGATGAAGTATAATAAAAGAACAGCTATATTCACATGGTCCAATGGAATTAATTTTGCTTTTGTGTGCGTCTTCCTAAGATGTACTTTATTCTAAATTTTTAAGATAATATATGGAATTTAATTAGCCAAATTCTATCTGTCTGCAATATTTGTTTAAACCAAAAGCCGTTTAATTAGAAAATACCGTATATACCCGCGTATAAGTCGACCCCCCTTCGACATAAAAAATTCGTAGAAAATAAGAAACCCGCGTATAAGTCGACCTCCTACTTCCGAAACCGATCTAGAAACTCGAAAATTTTTTTAAGTAGTAATTTATTCAAAATCACTGAGAAAAAAAAAAACTAATGTGGCGATAAAAATACCTTGGTAAATAAACAATCAAAATCCTTCAAAGTCCGATTCATGTCAGATTCGCCAAACATTTTCATAGAACTCTGTCGTCATTGGCTCGTATCATATTTCAGTCTCGAACTCTGTATTGGTATAATCACACTAGAGCCTTCGTCGTCATTTTCTTTCAGAAACAGTATATCTTCCGTGCCGTTAGTTTGTTGCTAACCAACATTTTTAAAATGATTTTATTCATTTCAGGGGTATTCGTTTCCACCACTGAGCAATTAATGTAATATCGGGCTTTTAATGTTGCCTCCCTTTGTAAATGTTGGTCGACCGTAACTAATCCACTCTGCCCAATATTTTCTAACAGTTACTTTGAAGGACTTATTGAGGCAGACATCTAGGCGTTGAATGATGGGTGTCAATCCTCCCAGAATTACGGCAACAGTCGTTTTTAGGTGTTTTGTCACTTCTTCAGAAAAGTGTCCACGATAAGAATCGTACACTAAAAGAGAAGGTTTTTTGAAAGCTTCTCCCAGTCTTTTATCTCACACATTTTTAAGCCAATCGACTGTTCTGTCAGCATCCATCCCGTTTCATGGGCGCGAACCACAGCACACCTGATGGAAACACAACGTTTTTCAGCGAATAAGATTTAACAGTGGGGCACGTGATTCTAGCAAAGAATGCGTCGAATCTGGACGTTAAACCGAAGAGTTTTCTGCCCCCGAACAACCAATCAGCATCCAGCAGGCAAAAGCGTTGCCAACATAATCCAAAACGCAGGATAATTGGGGAAAAATGATCGTATAGTAACCTTCTACAATTTGTTCCGGAAAAGATTCGCGTACGTAAAATCTATCTGCATTTTCCCTTTTTAAAAGTTAAAAGAAATATTCAAAACTGTTCAGTTATTGCGTGGGCTATTGCGTGGGTAAGTGACTTATTTGATAAGTCGTCCAATTTGAGTGCGGGAAGAAAACAACTGCATTATATAAAGAAATTTTTGAACTTCCGATTCTTTTAATTTTTTATGGCCCCGCGTATAAGTCGACCCCCCCCCCCACTTTGAAGTCTTTTTTTTGTCCAAAATATCTCGACTTATACGCGGGTATATACGGTAATACTTTTTATCAGTTTTTTTCCTTGAAATAAATATATTGTTCCACTCTATGGATTCGTAGAGATCTCCTCGTAATTATATTATAAAAAATTAACATTTTATTAAAATAAATAATAATTCAACATAAGGTAAATAGCTGAAAAATAGGGAGGATATTAGACAAATTTTCTTTAACATGTGAAGAATAATCAGTAACATCGTTCCTAGCGCAAGACGTAAAGCAGTAATTAATCACTGAGCAGAAGTCCCATACAGTCGGCACTATTCTGAAATGAATTATTCAGCTAATTAATTCAACTCATGGCTGAACAGAAGTCGGATTTATAGGATTCCCAAGTACTTCTCGAAGCTGTAGAGCTTCGGAAATACTTTCTCTAAAAACTTCCACAATGCCGCTAAATTTGCAAGGAATCACGCCGTCAGCTTGACGACAAAAATGGTCGCAAAGGCCCGTCAGGAAAACTTCTGGTCGTATCTCCTTTAACTGATCTATATACCCCCAAACTGTAAACATTCATTGGTTCAGAATTGCAAGATCTACTATATAGCATGCAAAATGAACACTTGAAAACAATAACTGATCTCAAGTTCGACAAATCAAAAATATACTATCCAATTATTGCCTAAAATGCACTAAATGTATACATAAATAAATAAAAACTAACACGAGTATACTACACTAAAAAATGCATTAAAAAAATTAAATAGACGCAAATATTAATAGAATTTTGCTACAGTACTTTCAAATAGAATTGTTCATTTGGGTAAAAATAATTTCATAATCCTCTTTTTTTCAGGTTATGGTAATATTGCTCCAAAAACCGATGTTGGAAAAGTTGTGACTATCTTCTACGCACTTCTTGGAATCCCTCTGATGCTGCTGTGCCTCACAAACATTGGCGATCTCTTAGCGAGATCTTTCAAATTCACCTATTCCCATTTTTGCTTATTATGCAGCAAGCCACGTCGTCCTCATATCTCATCGACACATAGGCAAGCATCGGTAGATCCAAGTAAAAGTGAGTCGTTTTAAATTTCTCTTTTTTAAAAAAAACATCTTATTAAACTTATTACAGAAAGTGCTTACACATTTTTAAAAAAGATTTCGATAAACAATTTAAAAAAAAAGGTTTGGGAATAAAAATTTCTGGCAACAGCTTATCGTTTGAAATGAGAAATATTGTCTACTATTAAATTTATTCTTCTTTCAAAATGCCGCATGCAAACAAACTATGGATTGATGGATATGTTTTTGCGCTTTCTGAACAGAAATATTCTTATTCCATAATTCAAAAATGTTCTGCTATGCATAGTATTAAACTTTCTATGTGACTTCGATAAAGATAGCACTGTGTCTTATTCATTTGCGTCTTTTTACCTTATTTTTTTACTAAATACATACTATAAAGTTTGCTCTGGCATGACGTCACTGATTCCTAGTCTGGCTCCTCCCCTATCCCCTTTGTGTCTTTGTTTCTTCCACTTCTGTAAATGACGTCAACGAGATGGAAGGAACCTAACCTTATTTGTCTACTGACCCTGGTAGGCCCCAAGTGAAAACTGAGCCTGAGACCTTTGAAAACTGGCGGAAAGAAGCTGATGAAAATAAATAAAAATAAACTAACTGGAACTTGAAATGAAAAATCATTTGGAATTAATAGTAATTAACGTGAACCTGGAACTGGGGTTCATACGCGAAGTTTTACTCGACTTTTATGGCCTCATATTTAGAATCCTAGAAAAAATAGCGTAAATAACTTATACATATTTCACTTCAAAATTTTTTAAAAAGGATCCACGAAGGAAATGCTGCGCTGGAAAAGCGGTACCAAATGTTAATGCGTTTCAGCAGTGGTTTGGGGAAAGATGAAAATGAGAATAAATAACATTTTTTAGAACATTATTCAGCAGACCTCATACCAGACCGCGACCGGCCAGTGACAGTAAACGTAATATAATACTGCAATTGGTGTAAGCAATACACCACTGTTCCTTAAAAAAAGAACACTTAAGACTATATCATATTAAAAACATTTCAGAAGAACAACTGTGTAATATTTCTGTTTAGTTAAAGCAGACAGTTACCGCGGATCCCTTTGCGGTTACCATCTAAACGGTGAACTGGTTCTCCATTACAAGCATAGAGATAGAACTACCATTCAAGTTCTTTAATTCAATGATGATTTGGCAAATATGTACAACATGCAACTTGTTATGTAAGGAAGTAAAAAAATTACGTGTCATTTTTTTCCAGTCATAAAACAGGTAGAAAAATAGCCTTTAAAAGTTTAGGCGTAGAATTAAATTAATTAAATGGGTACAGAATAAATGAATATGAATTTTGTAAGTTGTATTTGAATTTTCTGTATTACAGCCCCGTTTAACTGCGGCTAGTCGTTTATTTAATAGGTAGTCTTTTTTTCTGTTTTTGAGATAACACGCTGAGCATGTCCACTCCAAATTAGCTTGTTGTTGAAGATGCAACCTAACTAATAAGTTGAAAAATCGTCAAGTTGTATATGCCTACCCTGAAAGACGAGTTTGGAAACAAAGGGTTGTCGATTCAAAATGAAACATTGGCTGGTAGTTTTCATTATGCTTCCTGGCATATTGTTATCCTTGCACCATTGTTCAATTCGCTCCAGTGTTAGATTCAAAAGAGTGTTAAGCTCGGTTTGGTCTTTTTTCCCAGTGCTACACCAAAAGACTAAGTCGTCTGCAAATACAGCTTGTTTTGTCAATCCGTCAGAAATCATCCGGTCAGGGAGATCATTTATAAAAATATTAAACAGGATGGAGCTAATTACATTCTCCTGTGGTATACCAGTTTCATTTCGTTTAAATTTCAAAGTGTTGTCTCCAAAGCAAATTGCGCAGAAGCGTTCAGAAAGAAAATCCTTGATCCACCAGACCACACTATCATGATATTACACCAGACCAGATTTGAAATTACACCAGACCACACTATCATTGAGGATCTGTACTCGTAGCAGTTACAACGGGTGCAACATGCATCGAAACAAAAGGAATCAGGAATGGTTAACCGCAAAGGGGTGTTAAACCTCCACGAAAATACGATACCACACACGTGACAATGACGACCAGGGATACAATTCAGCGATCTGGCTAAGAGATAATAAGCTCTTCAAACCTAGCACCCACAAACTGCCATCAATTCCATTCCCTGGACAACCATCTTCATGGGAAATCCTTTGATAATAAGGCAGATACGAGACGCACTCACAGATTTCTCTGCGTCCAAGATTCTCGAGTCTTATCGCTAGGGCGTTGTACATCTGCATGAACATTGGCAGCTGCTGGATGCTGATGGAGTTCAAGACTTAATACTGAGTACCATGAGTTATAGGTCCGTCTATTCCTAACGATCATTGAACGGCAAGAACGTTTTTGGTTACTTTGTATATGTATTATGAATCAGCTCTACCAGTGGCCAAAAGTTGAACCGTTGAACTCCGGCAGTTTGACTCAAGTTCGAATTCCTATCAGTGGGGCTAACTATATGGATGTTGACATACAATCAATTAAATTTTTCCATATGAAAATGCCGTTGTATATAAGTATGCTATAGAGACCTACACGTACATCCATATCTCAAAGTAATACCTTTAATATCCATGAAATGTCAGGATACAAATAAGGGCCTAAAAATTCTATTTGTTTACAAAATTTTAAATTTTATAGTAATAAAATTCGATTTGAATACGGCTTTCTGAAATCAATATTTTGTTTCTTTATTTTCAATGGATGAAAGTGGTTTAAATCGTATAAATTCGACAATTTTTTTAAAAAAATTAATAATATAAGAAACAGTTTACTAATTAAAAACTTCTACTTAGAACTAATATTTTTTGTATTTGTACCCAGGTAAAAATTTTAATTTTGTGTATTTTTACTAAAAGAAATTAGTTATCAAAATTATCTCATTCTGAAAGCTCACACGATTTGATTCTTTTTTTAATACTGAAATAGGGATCCAAGTTTCAAAAAGTACTTTGACGAGCATTCTTAAAAAATCGTATAGGAAGATATTTTGTCACGTAAAATAGAAAATTATGGAAGTAATACTTGAGTTCTTTAGTTCTTTAAATAAGTTTTAACTCTTTGTAAAACTGTCATTTATTTTCATTCTTACTTGCATAACTGACTATGTGTTTGTTATTTTTCTTTTAACAGGTCCAGTAGGAAAAGCAGCAGAAATAGCAACACTGGAGATGTGTAATGGTGACGAAAAATCCGCAGTCAGCGGAAGTATCTCGCCATCTTCTAATGCTTCTTCTCCAACAAAATCCCATCTTTCCAACAACACTAACGTTGTGGTTTTGCCAGATCCCACACCTGTAATTATTGAACGAGTCTACCGTAATTCTTCAGGAGGAGAAGACGAACGTGTTCCGATGTACATGGTCTTACTTCTTGTAACTGGCTACATTTGTGGCGGCGCTGTGTTGTTTTCCTTATGGGAGAAGTGGACGTTCCTCAATGGGGCTTACTTTTGTTTCATAACCCTGAGTACCATAGGGTTTGGAGACCTTGTGCCGGGTTCAGATATTTTTGATGCGCAGAGTGGACAGGCGAAATTAATTATCTGCTGCATTTATCTCATCATGGGATTATCTATCATTGCTATGTCGTTTAATTTAGTGCAGGAAGAAGTGGTCATTAAGTGCAAGAACCTCGCCAGGAATTTGGGGTTACTGAAATCTGAGCATGATGATGATGACTGAATAAATAATACCATCTGAGCAAATATGCATATTCTCATTGCCTGTCGCTGAAAGAGTGTAATATATGGAAATTTCTCTTGTTTAATAAAAACTAAACTCCTACCTAAAAAACTGAATTTTCTTTATTGATTTCTCAGCACTTATTTGGGTGAAGCAAGAAAAAAATTCCTTTTCTACCTTCTTCGCCTGTTTTAAAATTTCCTCAAATGAAGTCTTGAGTGAAAAGTGTTCATAATGAAAGGCACTGGATGGCATTTGACCTTTCTACGCATTTCATACGTGACATTTAAATTGTACATATAGGGGATATTTATACGTATCACATAATTTATATGTAACGTTTGAAGAAAAATCTGAGATGGAACTACAAATGCTCAATATTTTGAAAGTCAGCTAGTCATTGAATATTTTATCAAATGCAAATATTGAAGTCCTCAGTTACTCATTACTTGTGAGCAAAATAATGCAGAGCATCATGTGCTAAGAAAAGTAATTTTTAAAAGCAGCAAAACAATCCATTAGAAGTGGAACCACAACGAACTCATTGCATAATTGATAGCAATCTCCATAAGACGGTTCATTAAAAGCTCTGAAATCCTATGGTCCAGTCAAAGAACTCAGTTTCTGGAACTACATGAATCTAAGCGGTCGGATGTAAGACCAGTGCCATATTTAAACCGTATTTATAGACTTGTCTGTGCTCCACGTTCCACGCAATACCACTTCCTTTTCGGCTGCTTACCAACTCAAGATCAGCGCCAGATTTGAAGTCCATGGTTCTAAGTACCCTGTTCTTTTGGACCATCTAAAGGTACATGGCTGGATTTAAGGCAGTCCATGGCCACGTTCTCTTGGGATATCCAACGCCGAGTTTCTTAGTTTTCATGAGAGCAAACTTGATTATGAGAATTTGTAGGATGATGTTTGTGTCGTTGAAATGATTCACGAGGCAGGCCTTCTGGGACTCGGGAGCTGCCGGTTCAAGATAGTGGAGGGTGTGGGACATATACCTGCTTACCTTTGTTAGATATCAGGTGTCCGCGTCCTCTGTCACCTATCGTTGAAATGTCAAGATGTAATCCTAGATTTAGGTAGTAATTATGACTTGCACAAGCGATCTAAAGATGCAATCGAAGGCAGGAGGATAAGAGAGACCAATAAAGTTTTAGTGGCAGAGAATATATACGATGATAACGGTATATATCTTTCGTTTACTAATTACGGGAGTAATCTTTTTTAATTGGAATACTATCAAACGTTCAGACGCAAAGCCAAGCCAGATGTAGGACATTCCTTTGGAGACATACTTTTATGAAAATGATCTTTGTAAAGAAATATTAGAACATAATTTTTTTTTTCATTTCAGTTTGAGAATTATTCTTTGCATTTCGTAACTTGGTAACATCAAATTAGACTTATTAATTGACTTCACTGATGTAATATATGATCCGGATACAGTAATTATCTATGATTAATAAAGAAAGTTACTTCCAATTTGCCTACTTCAAATTTTAAACATTTTTCTTCGATTAGAATCAGAACCATAAGCTTTCCGATTTAACCAGCAATATAACTCGGCTATAAACCTTATCTCACTATTTTCTGAGCTTCTTCATGTTCATAGAAATAAGCTGGACAAAGACAAAGTACTTTATTATTACATTTAATTTAAAAAGGTTTCAGAATGCTTAAAAAGTCTTAGAAAAGCCAAATAACTTACAATACTCTGTGAAAAGTTAATTTTTATTTCGCGATTATGTTCATGCATTTCCATGAATTCATCAAAAAGATGTCTCTTATACTTCGTTAATAAATCGTTTGGCCTCTCGTTTATTCTTTTATCTACTTATTTTAATTCGCCTTTCTTTAATTTAATAATTACAGATAATGCTTTAAACTTTAAACAAAACTAAACAACAAAAAACGGGTAAAGTGCAGAATCGCCCACTTATATGGCACGTATCCATACATGGCCAAAGTCAAGGGAGTGCACAATGCCAAGTTTATGCAATTCTCTGATGTTTTTTTTTAAGTTAAAGAAGGTCGACGTGTACATGGATACCGAGTTTGTGCAAGTCTTTCACTTGTTATTTTCAAGTTGATGCAGAATCGCCTGGATATGGCGCATTGACATGGCGGGCTGTTTTGAGAAACGCGCGAAGCAGTGGGTTATTCTGCACTTTCCCCAAAAAAACTACTTTCATTTCAAATCACCGAGATTGTTGATTTATATCCTTGGTCGACTAACTCGAAATTAAAGCATATACTTAATTCACTTATTAGTGTGAGTGACTTAATGATATAATAAACCTCAAACTGTTTTCTAAGAGAAAATAAAAATAAATAGTTCCCCTTCTGTTTCATATAAATTTTCTTTAAATAAATGTAGAAAATTGACCCCATTTTTTTTTTATCATTCTAATTTTAAAAGAGGACGACGTTTTATAATCTGTTAAAATTTCAAAACTTTGTAATCAGTACACAATAAAATGCAGAAATTTTAAAATAAGAGATGCCAAATTTTCGAAAAAAATTGAGCTTATTTCGAAAACTCACCAAAAAAATCAGGAATTATATTAAAATTTTCGTACAAATTTTATTAAAATTTTTCTTTCTCGCTCTATGGTGAAAATAAAGGTCTTGAATTTTCAGTTCGATTGACGAAGATACTTACGAAAAATTATTTTACATGTTAAAAAAATCTTCTAAATGGAATTTTGAAAAGATTGCTTCTCTATTATACTGTCATTTAAAGCAGTATGTGTATAAAATTTGAACTTGATAGCTTATCATCAGGAAGTAATTTATAAATGGATGACAGACATTTGACCATAGCGACAAACACCAAGAATGAACCAAATAAAAGCTTATAATAAGGAAAGTAATGCAATCGGCACCAATGGTATTTGTTTACCAATGCCGTAAAACAATGCACCGGGAAATGAAGGATATAACCATTTACAGGTAGAGACAGGTAGGATATTTAAAACGGATATACAGTGGCTCCCAGAAGTTTTTGTACACTTTAAGAATTTATAGAAAAAGTGCTGTAGCCCGGAGCTAAATTCGAATATAAAGCCCACTATTTTTTCATACCATCTTTACGCGATTTTGAATAAAACGAATCTTTTTTTTTTTTTTTTTTTTTTCTAAAATTGAAAAATGTAAGGAGGCAGGACAAAACACGCCACAAAAGTGATCATACACTGAAACATTTTCGTAAAATTTCAATAAAATCAAATTATCGCTTGATATTTTTTCTTTTTTCATTTCAGTGACGTTTAAAAATTCGCTTGGCTTTATTCTTTGCTTCCTTACTTTGTTATATTTTATTTAATATTTAAAAATGGGTAACAAAGGAAACAACAAATATCATTCGAAAATGGATCATTTTTCATCATAAGGGAGGAAAAACCGATCTAAGATATTGCTGAATTAGTAAATTTATACTATTCTACAGTGCAGTATGTGATAAAACGTTTTACATTAAAGTTTACGAATACATTTGTTAGGTAGTTTTTCAGTTACATTTATTAGAAAGACTTTTACTATATTTATTAAATAAATAGTGCGTTTTTGCTAAGAGTAATTTATAGATATCATTAAAAACTTCTAATTCTCAAATATTAATTTTTATTAATGAATAACGTTTGGTTTGGTTTACTTAATTATGGCAAACACAAGGGCTATCTGCCTAAGGGAGGGGCCTTCGTGGCGGACTTTCTAAGGGAAACTGGGCTCGTTACACTTACACCCGGGGAAAACCACGAAAACGCCCATGCAACCAGCCCGTTCGCGTGATTCGAACCTCGGACCGAACTACCAGTTTTCAGCGATTTTACCGCTCGGCCGTTGCTGGGCCAGTAACGAATAAGGCAATATTCCACTGAAACTCGTACGGGTACGAAGTTTTGGGAGCCACTGTATAGTTGTAAATGTAACAAAAATTATTCTTAGTGTTAAGAAAGAATGAATATGTCAAACATATAAAAGTTCTTGAATTATCTCATAAATGTTTTGAAAACACTGTAAGGTTTAAATGCTTGTGATATTGAACGTGGTTTAGACTACGCTCAGCAAAAGCACTAAAAACATTTATAGGTATGAAAATCCTTTCACAGAGCTGATTTCAGAGAAAACGTTTCTAGTTCGTTTTCATTCCATATAATGATGACACTCATCTTCCTGCATTTTATTGAAGCAAAAGAAAAACTACATTCTTCTTAATACAGATAGATCTTTGATAACACTAATAAATTTAACTTTAACTTTTGAAAGCACTAGCATATAACTACTTCAACTTAAACAAAACTACAAGTACAGTTTTACTATCAAATCCTTAGAACATTATTCTTAGAATACTATAGCTGCCATTCCGGTAAAGCGTAACTCTTTTTCCTTTGTGACGTGCGATCTTTATTTTTATTTATCGTCAGCTAAAACTATTTTAATTTTACATTTAACAGAACTTAAGTAAATATGGATAATAATGAAATTTCAATTCTGAAAGCTTCAATGTTTGATGCTATGGTGTCCGCCGAAAACATCGCGGCAAAAACATCCCGGACGAAAACGTTGCGGAGAAAAGAACGCAAGGTGAAAACGTTGTGGTACAACACATCGTAGGAGAACAGAAAGCGAAGGGGAAAAGTTACAGTTCTAAAATATCGTGGTACAAAATACCGTTATCTAAAATAAAGTGGTATAAAAACTTCGCAATTTAAAACCATCGTCGTCGAAAATATCATTGTAAAAAATAAAGTACCCACAAATCATCGCATGACGATAACATCGCACATTCGCGTTTTTCAGGTTTTAAAAATAAGTGTATTTTAGCATAATGATCTGGCAGCGCAGAAGGAAAGACGGATTTTTTTACTTCTATATTTCATACTTTTGAATGAACCTTTTGCTGAAAAAAAGAAAACTTAAGTATTTTGAAATTAAAAATGGAAAGAAAATTAATGCAACTTATAGCCCTTAATTTTGAATTTACATAGTTAATTAACAAAGGTTATTAATAACTTAATCCTTTTTACTTCCTTGTACGTACCGCTATCGAATGCAATTTAACGATGTTTTTGCGTGATATCTGTATGTAAGGACAGAATCAACCTCTTTTCCTCCCCCTTTTCCCCCTTTCCTCCACAAAATTATAAAACTTGCTTAAAATAATTCTGAAGAGAATTTTTCGTGGTGTGTGTACGTACGTATCTACGTCTCTCGCATAACTCAAAAACGAGTAGCCTCAAGAACGTTGAAATTTTGTATATGGGACTGCTCTAACGTGTAGATGTGCACCTCGTATTTTTTCCTTTCTTTTTTTCAAAGGGCCGATGATCTTTTTGTCTGTACTGTAACGACTACTGACATTTCCATCATTTTGGAATCGTTGTCAAAGCCTGAACCTTAATAGTTGATGACACTTGGGCTACTCCAAGTCTGTTGGATACTCCCATTTTTACCACGTAAAAAATCATCCACATGCGTCCTCTGTGTCATAACTATTCGGTTGTGGCACAGCGCTTACAGAGCGGTTGTGAACAACTTTACTTCTTTGCTATCATTCCTTAGGTACATTCTCGTAATTGTGGCGTACTATCGGCGTCATCTGATGGCTTTCTGTAATTTGTATATTATTCTTGAAGCAATATGTGCTTCAAGAATAATATACAAATTACAGAAAGCCATATATAGAAATATGCGCAATAGCTCGACAGGTGAAATTTTTACTTTAGAGTTCGATTCTGTGTGATTCTGAATTATCCTTAATTTATCGACAGTCCATAAATTAAGGATAATTCGAAGTCACGCGGAAATCGAACTCTAAAATAAATATATCACCTGTAAATCACTACAAAAATCTTCAAGATCATATGAAATTTCAGGAAGTAACCAGATGACAACCGATGGTACGTCCAATGCGAGAGTGTAGAGATGATATATAAGGAATCAGGCAAAAAGTAAATTGGTCGCAGGCGCTTATAAGCATTTCGGCCAATACCGAATAGTTTAGACACAAAGACGCATTGGATGATTTTTTTACGTGGTAGAATATCGGCCGTCGGAATGTGGGCGTCCCCAACGGAAGTATCAGACGAAACTTGGAATTCCCAGAGTGTATCTCAGGTTGGCAACGATTCAAGATGTGTAATGTGAGTAGACGTACAGCACAGGTCCCCAGAGTTACAACGCCGAAATGAGACCGTATTTGGAAGTTACTGCCAAAAGAACAGGGGAGCACAGCTCCCCTGTCTTCAGCTCTCTTCAGCCACTGGTACCTACAATTCAAGGCAGACCGTTTAGTGACGGGGCAGATTGGTCTATATGCTCGTAGACCTGTTCGATGCGTTCCACTTACTGCAACTCACTGTCGCCTGCGGTAGCCGGAGAGAGAGCATTCATTGTGGACACGCAACAGTGGGCTTGTGTGATGTTTTCCGCAGTCCAGGTTTAGCTTGCATCTGAATCTCGCCGGACTTTCATATGGAGAGCTCAGGTACCCGTTACCACCAGAAAACATCATTGAACCACGTACGGTGGTGCAGGAGGCTCGTTTGGTGGGAATTATTCGGGTTCCAGAACTGACCTGCATGTTCAAATTGGATGACAGCCAAATCAATCGGGACGTCATCAAAAACATCGTAAGCGAATGCCTTCATCGGAGGATATCACCCGTATGATGGCCAGCATTCTCACCGGACTTGAATCCAGTAGAGCTGTGGGAATGCTTGGCACGAGTTGCAGCCCTCAACCTCCTCCTACATGTCTACCGGAACTTCGGAGAGCATTGCTTTTTGAGTGGTGTAATAGCCCCATGATCAGATCG